GAAGAAGCTATCTTAAATGTCCACCGCTTGGGTCTTTTAGTTGACTCTAACCCCAGCCACTATGTACCTATAATCACATGAGAAATTTCAAGTGAGAACTTCCCAACTGAGCGCAGTCAACCTGTATGTCTGGGTGAGTGTATTGTTAGATAACCATACTGTGTAAAAATTATCAATGCTAAAGAAGTTATCATTGTTCAAAAGCACTACCTTCTTCCAGAAATCCATCATACTGTTTTTAAAACTACCTTATGTCATCAAAGAAGGAGGTACCTTTCTCTGAAGGGAGGAGAGAACTTCCACTTTGACTATGACCTTGTCTAAATATGATCAGAGTCGGCGAACTCAAAAGGCTTCCATAGCCTTGGCAACTCATGACAAGAGCCTAAAGAGCCTAGGGTGATTACTGATGCCATAAACAAGAGTGTCAATTTGTTAAGTCAACAACAGGAGTCACTGTGCACTTACTCCTCATGTAGGATCTCTGTCCTTAATGTGCTGTACATCGTGATTTAATGCTATAACTAGTACTCAAACAGTATTTTCCACTTTGTGTTTCTGTGTGGGTGCAAACTGTTGAAATCTTTACTTAATATATACTAAGTTGATCTGTATATAAAGATAATTGAAAATCAATCTTGATGTGAATGGAAGGGGAGAGGGAGCGGGAGAGGGGAGGGTTGCGGGTGGGAGGGAATTTATGGGGGGAAAAAGCCCTTGTAATCCATAAGCTGTACTTTGGAAATTTATATTCATTAAATAAAAGTTAAAAAAACTACCTTACAATAGTTTCAAATTCTACAGAATTAGAAAACATTGTGATTATATAATCATTTATAAGATTAAAAATATATTGGTTTCCTCTGCTGAACCATAAATTCTGAGAGCAAGGAATATCCCTGTTTTCTTCACTGAAACAACCTGTTTACTTAATTAACATATGGTAGTTACCCAATAAGTATTGAATGAATGAATTAAAGAGCACCAAACCTGAGCCCTATAGTCCAGTTACTAAGGAATTAAAGGTACATGTTGTCAAATAACATCTAGTAAATCAGTATTGACTCTCAAGTACTATTTAATTTTTAATGTTTAATTCTTTTACAAAAGGGAAACCACTTTGATCTACAGTAATATCTGATGCTTTATATAGCTATACAAAGAAAATGTTCATGGGAACACTTTAAAGAATAAATTTTATGGGGCCGGCGCTGTGGCTCAGTGGGTTAACGCCCTGGCCTGAAGTGCTGGCATCCCATATGGGCACCGGTTCTAGTCCTGGTTGCTCCACTTCCGATCCAGCTCTCTGCTATGGCCTGGGAAAGCAGTAGAAAATGGCCCAAGTCCTTGGGCCCCTGCACCCACGTGGGAGACCCAGAAGAAGCTCCTGACTCCTGGCTTCAGATGGGCGCAGCTCCGGCTGTTGCGGCCACCTGGGGAGTGAACCAGTGGATGGAAGACCTCTCTCTCTCTCTCTCTCTCTCTGCCTCTCCTCTCTCTGTGTAACTCTGACTTTCAAATAAATAAATAAATCTTTAAAAAAGAATAGATTTTATAAATCCTTATTAGACAGAATGAACAACTCTGGAGATATGTGAGAGAAAATGATTATTACTTAAGTAAAGTTGAACTTTTTCCTATTTACTATTTTCCATCTTAAGGAGATCAACATAATCTTAAAGATTATTTTATTTATGAGGGACAAATGAATTATTAATAATAAATAATCAAATCTATGTATTCTAAGATGAAATTAATCACATGGTGTGTAAATATCACAGTAAAAACGTCTATATCCTAAAAAAATACCCTCATAAAGTCGTTTACCTACTGCTTGGATATGATTTAATTTAATTTTAGCACAAGGGGATCTAAACCATAGCTGATTTTGTAGTTTTTCCCTATCCTTAATATGTTAAACACCTTGTTCTAACAGTTCTATTTCTTAACTTTGGAAAGTTGTTGGAATGGTATCTTCAAAACTAAATCACTTTAAGGCTTGTTTAAGGATTATCGAAACACAATTTAAATTTTTAAAAATTTATTTATTTTTAAAGGCAGCTAGAGACAGACAGAGAGAAGTCCTCCATCTGCTGGTTCACCACCTAAATGCCCCTATAGCAGGGGTTAGGCCAGGCCAGAAAACAATTCCATTTACGGTGTCAAAAGAAGGAAATACTTAGAAACAAATTTAACCAAAGAAGTTGTGGAATATGTGTCCCTGGACACTAAAAAAAAAGAATTTGCTGAAATGGGGACACATATTTGGTGTAGCAATTAGGATGACACTTCTGCTGCCCACATCCCACAGCAGAGTACTTCGATTCAAGCCCCATCTCTGCTCCTAGTTTCAGCTTCCCCGAATGCAAACCCTGGGAGGTAGCTGTGACAGCTCAAATATTTGGCTCCCTGCCAGTCATGTAGAAGACACACATTGGGATCCCAGCTCTGCCTTTGGACTGGCTCAACCCTGACAGCTATGGGCATTTGGGGAATGAACCAGTGAATGAGATTTCTCTATATATATATACATAAAAATTAAAAGAAAATGCAAAATATTGCTGAAGTAAATTAAATAGAACCTAACTAAATGGAAAGACATAGTGTGTTCATCTCAGTATTAATATTTGCTAAATTGTTCTGTATATTCTTTGTGATCCCCATCAAACCCCAAGTGCTTTTTTTTTTTTTGCAATGATGGAGGAAATAGATAATCAGTTATTAAATTTCATACGGAATTGTAAAGGACCCCAAATAACGAAGAACAAAGTTGAAAGATTCATACTTCCTAATATCAAAACTTATGGAGTTGGTGTTGTGGTGCACAGTGTTAAGCCACTTCTTGGGATGCTTACATTTCACATCAGAGTGGTGGTTCAAGTCTCAGCTGCTCTGCTTCCAATCCAACAACCTACTAATGCACCTGGAAAGCAGTGGAATGATGGCCCTGCCCCTGACGTGGGAGACCCAGATGGATTTCTGTCTCCTGGCTTTAGCCTGGCCCAACCCCAGCTGTTGTGGACATTTGGAGAGTAAACCAGGAGATGGAAGATCTCTGTCCCTCTATGTCATTCTGCCTTTCAAATAAATAAACAAATCCTTGAAAAACACTTTATACAAAGCTATAACAATTATCAGTATAGTACAGACATAAAGATAGATCAGTGTTATAGAACTGAGAGTTTAGAGACAAACTCATATATCTATGGTGCATTAGTTTTGAAATGGGTACCAATATCATTCAATGGGAAAGGGTAAAGAATAATCTTTTCAACAAGAGAGCTTTGGCAAATGGATAGTCACATATAAATGAATAAAGCTGGACTCCTACTTCACATCATACAAAAAATGACCACAAAATAGACCAAAAACCTAAGCGTAAGAGATCAACGTGGAAAACAGAGGAAAACAGGTGTATATATTTATGACATGGAGATTGGCAGGATTTTTAGATATGTCATGCAAACCAAAGACACAAAAGAAAAAAGTAGGTGAATTGAACTTCTTAAAAATTAAAAACTATGTAAATCATATATTTGACAAAGGACTTATACATAAAATATATACATGCCTTAAAACTTAATGTTAAAAAGACAATCTAATAAAAATTGGGCTACAGGGGCTGGCAATGCCGTGCAGTGAGTTAAACCACTACTTTCAACACTGGCAACTCATATTGAAGTGCCATTGCCAGTCCTGGCTGCTCTACTTCCTATCCAGCTTCTTGTTAATGCTCCTGGTAGGGCAGCAGAAGATGACCTAAGTACTTGGGCTCCTGTCATCCATGTATGAGACTCGGATGGAGTTCCTGGCTCCTGGATTTGGTCTAGCCCAGCCCTGGCTGTTGCAGCCATTTCTGGAATTAACCAGCAGATGGAAAATCTCTCTCTCTCTCTCTGCCTTTCAAATAAATGAAATAAATATTTTTTAAAAAGACAATGATCCGGCTGTGGTGGCCATTTGGGAAGTGAACCAACAGGAGGAAGATCTTTGTCTCTCTCTCTCACTGTCTAACTCTGTCAAATAAAAAAAAAGAATGGTAAATGTTCTCAAGGATTGGAGAGATTCGAACTCTCAAACAATTCTGGTGGGAATATAAAATACTGACGTCACTTTGAAAAAGTCTTAAATTTCCCCTGAAAGTTAAGAATAGAATTACTATAAGAGCTAGTAGTTTCACTCCTGGATACATATTCAGCAGAAGTAAAAGCAGTTATCTACATAAAAACCTGTAGCAATGTTAATAGCAGCATTCATAATTGAAAAACAACCCAATATGTTAGTTAAGAAACAGAATGTGGAATGTTGATAAAGTGGAATATTATTGTCACAAGAAGGAATGAAATAGTTATATATGTTACAACATGAATGGACTTGAAAGCCTTATGCTAAGTTTTGTGATTCCATTTACATGAAATGGTCAGAGTATGCAATTTCAGAGACAGAAAGCAGATTGCTAAGAGATGTAGGGTGGGAGAGATTGGGTGTGGGGATGTGGGGAGAGACTTCTAATTGGTACTTTCTTATTTACATGATGAAAAATGCTCTTTAATTAATGATTATGGTTGCACAATATTGTGTATATACTAAAAACTACTGAAGTATACATTTTCAAATAATTAAAATGAAAAAAATTCTTCCACGAATAGAGGTTGAATGTCCCTTTTCCAAAATACTTGTGACCAAAAGTGTTTCATATTTGAATATTTGGGAATGGGATCCAAATATAAACATGAAATTTATTTATGTTTTATATGTTCCTTGTCCACATAGCCTGAAAGTAGTTTTATACGACATTGCAAATAATTTTGTGCAGAAAATTTCATGGTGTGGTATTTTCCACTGTGTATCATGTCGGAGACTGAAAAGCTCCTTGATTTTGGACAATTTCAGATTTTGGATTTTCAGATTAGGGATTCTCAATCTGTATCACAACAGAAAAAAAATCATGCAGTATAATATCATGGTAACTACATTTTTGGAGATATCAGAAACCATAATCAGCTTTGAAGAGTCATTTTTATTAGGATAAAGGCAATAAAATTTTGTTCAGACACATATAACCAAAACTGCCCTTCTGCAATAAACATTTGCATTTCTTTTTTAACATGAGATTACAACTTTATTTTTTCCTAATAATAAAGTTATATTTGGGAAAGATAACTAACTCTTAGCATTGCATGAAAATAGTTCACCTTCTTTATAAAAGCAACCTAGAGAACCACAAGAATGTTGCATGAAACGTTCTTTTGGGCTTCCCCCATTTTGTGAAATGACCACATATATAGGAGCTAATTAAAATTCAAAATGTAACAAAGAACTTACACGAAACAGAATTCCCTGGCAAAGTTAGCATAATTTTTCTACATATTCCACTACCATAATCTCAAAATTTATAAAGGTTTCATGTTAGGAATTTTGTGACTAATAATCAGTATGAAGATGTTCTGAAATTAAACTGATGCTAAAGAAAAACTGTGCTTATAAAATATTTGATAAAAATATTTATCTCTATTAACATTACAACAAGAAGGTAGGTATTACCAAATTACGAAACCACATAGGGCAGTTTTAGACAATACTCAGAGACTCTTCGTTTTTTCCATCTTCTTTTTTGACCTCTTCTTTTTCAATTTCTTTCCCAGCTTCAGCCTTCTTTTCATCTCCCTTTTTGTCTTCTCCTTCTTCCTCACCTCCTTTTCCACTTTCTTCTTTTTCATTTTCCTCTTTTCTGTCTTCTTTCTCCTTTTCCTTTTCTTCCTCATTTCCACCTTCATCTTTCTTCTCCTCTTCCTCCTCATTTTCATCTTCTTTATCTTTTTCATCTGCACCATCTTTATTATCTTCCTCTTTTCTATCCTCTTTTCCAAATTCATCCTCTTTGACACCTGCTCCTTTCCCTTTTCCATCTTCACCATCTTTCTCGTCTCCTTTCTCTTCTTGGTCTTCTCCCTCTTTTCTGTCTTCTCCTTCCTTGTTGCCATCTTTATTCTCTTTTCCATCTTTTTTCTCCTCTTCATCTTGTTCTTCTTTTCCGTCTTCTCCTTTCTCTTCTTTGTTTATATCTTCATCCTTTTTATCTTCTTCTACTGCTTCTTTATTTTCTCCTCCCTCTTCTTCAATATCTTCACTTATTTCTTTTGATTCCTCAGTTTCTTTTTCAGGAACTGGTGCCTACATATACAGAAAAATCAAAACAAAACACAAACATCAAGGTTCTACTTGTGAATTTAGAACTGTTTTCCCTGAGTATTTAGATTGGATTGCATTCATTTTATGAAAAGACTAATAAGTCATTTGCAAAAAAAAGTAATCTTCCCATGGAAAAGGCCTCTTAAATATCAGATTATGAGGAAAGTATTCTAAGAAATAAGATTAACTAAAATGTCTCCACAGAAACATACACAAAAAGATTTATGAAATGATAAATTCACAAAAGCATATTCATATAAATAATTTTCATTACAGATACAAGGAAGCACACGGTAACATAGAGTTATTCTATATCAGTAATATTCAATCAGTAGCATGCATGTAAGTAAAATATATTCCTGGAGAAAAGAATACATTTTTTCCTATACTGGTGAGATTTGAGCATTTTAAAACAAAAATTATTTGAAAAATCCTATACCAGATATCATAAACCATTTACTAAAGTTTGCCCACATATGCACATGCTTGATTTGTAGATTTTATCAGCACATCCCATTTTTGGTTTTTTACTGCAATGCCTTAAAGTACAGCATGCAAAACCAGCCCTGTTAAAAACATTTATGTAATGATTTTGTTTTGCAATCTGCAGGAAAAATAAAAGAATCAGATGTTCTGGGAAAGGGACTTACAAACAGCTCATGTGCTAATGAAAGGAATAGAGGATTGGCCTGTACTTAATAAGAGGGTCATTATATTAGTGCTAAGTTATGATCACTGCCATTGTTCTAGTAACAACAATGCTAATCCATTCTCCCACAAGAGGTACAAGTAAATTCTCATATTTTAAATTCATTTTCTTTTCCCATTATGAATCATTATATGTTAGAGCTACCATTCATTTAATGTTTCTCAACTTTAAAGTAAAACACAAATAATATTTCTTTGAGTTGCACCCATTGTTAAACTTTCAAATGGATAAATCTGCTAACATTGTAAGATACCTCTACAATTTTGGATTCTCCATTTTTACTGGATTGTTCTTTGACAGCTTCTTCTTGCTTGGTTTCAGCAATTACTTTGGCACTTGTATCTGTGTTTTGTTCCAGTGTATCATTTTTTGTCTTCATTTTCTGTCCAGCAACAAGAGAGAATAAAAATAAATACACCATTTAACTGATGTGTTGATTAAATGACCAAAGTCATTTTACCAGCTGCTGCAATCATTTGTGGAAAAGCTTTGAAATACCACATATAAACCAAATAGCAGCAAAATTAACACATACCACTTTCAGTTTCATTGTAAACCTAAAGCAGCACTGAAAATGAATAACGTTCCCCTGATAAAAACTGAAAAATCTTTTTAAGTTGAATGATGCAGATGAGAAGCTACAAGTCAGAATGCTGACCAGCGGCCACTAAGGGCCAATTGCCAGCATCAAGTTATACTAATAAAGTAACTTTCTCTGACTAAAGGAGATCAATTTATCTTTGCCACATCTAATAATTAGCATCAAGGTTATATTGAATATAAACCTTCCATTGGTAAAAATTAAAAGAAGCTGAGGCTGGCGCTGTGGTGTAGTGGGTAAAGCCGCTGCCTACAGTGCCGATATCCCATATGGGAGCCGGTTCGAGTCCTGGCTGCTCCACTTCTGATCCAGCTCTCTGCTATGACCTGGGAAAGCAGTAGAAGGTGGCCCAAGTCCTTGGGCCCCTGCACCTGTGTGGGAGAGCCGAAAGAAGCTCCTGGCTCCTGGTTTCTGATTGGCACAGCTCCGACCATTGTGGCCAGTTGAGGAGTGAACCAGTGGATGGAAGACCTCTCTCTGCCTCTCCTTCTCTCTGTGTAACTCTGCCTTTCAAATAAATAAATATATAAATATTTAAAAAAGGAAAAAAAATTAAGAGAAGTGTTATATTAGTAGGAGAATCAATTTAGTTATATATTTAAAAGATTGCCTTAGGACATAGGTGTTTCAATCTTTACATCTACAAGTTTTGAAATGCCTCCAAGCATGATTGCTTTATCAGCAAAATTCTTTGCCTAATATTGAGCAGGAAGACCACTTGGTTAAGGGGCCAGAAAACCTGTTTCAATTCTGGATCTGCCACTTATGTTATGTGGCCTTGAGCAACAGCATGCATATCTTTTGAGGCTGTTTTTTCATGTGTTAAAAAACAGTAAAACCAGAGACTCAGGGATGTTATAAACATTAAACGAGAAAATATATGTGAAATTGCTTTAGCAATTGTAAACTGCAATATATATAATGTCATTACTCTTTTAGCACATGAGGGACTGTTAAGGATGACAAATATTTTTAAATGTCTGATTATGTAGTATCTGTTTTAGTCTAGTACAATTTTCTCCTTTTAAAAGATATCAGCTGTATTCACTATTTTAAAAAATTATAAATTGAATGCCTAACTTTATAAGGTAGTGAATTTGAAAAGTAAAACAGAGAGAAAACAAGCTGTCACAGTATTTTTTTATTTTGATTATTTTAAAGGCAGAGAGTGAGAGAGAAGCAGACAGACATCTCCCTTTGGTTGGTTCACTACCCAAATGCCTGCAACAGCCATGACTGGACCAGGTTGAAGCCAGGAGCCAGGAACTCTGCCTAGGTCATCCATGTGGGTAGCAGGGACTCAAATACTTGATCTGTCACCTACTGCCTCCAAGAGTGCATATTAACAGGAAGCTGGAGTCAGGAGCAGAGCTGGGACTCTAAATTAGGCACTTTGATATGGAATGTGGAAATCACAAGTGCCAAATTACCTACTAGGCGTAATACCTGGCCCGTTCACTTACTATTAATATATGAACTATTACTAAAACCTCACTTGCCTTAGCTTTAGTAATCATTTAATCAAGCATGTCAAATAATTTTGTAAACATAATGATAGTTTACAGTTTCCTTTAATACAAAATGATGAAATTAGATAATCTTTATTGAGCCTCGTAACTTTACCCTTTTATGATTTTAGGAATTCAATCAATCCTTAAAATATCCTCACGTGTAAGCAATTAACGGTGAGCTTACTATTGAGGTTATATCTATTCCTACACAACTTTAGACACAATATTATAGTACAGAAGTCTTTATGAAATCAATTATATCCATTTAAAATTACTGTATATGAAAGTACTTTGCAAACTATAAAGCATTACCTAATATTAGTTACTTCTATTATTACAAAGCACTACTTTGGTTAGTACAGTTTATAATCTTTTTTTCCCAAGAATATCAGTATTATAGCTATGTCAAAATCATCTGTATTTAATGGGTTCATCTGACTGAAATTTTGTTTTGTCTCTACCTAATAAAGATGCCAAAACATAGTGGACAGTCATAAAACAGGAATAAATATTTCTCACCAAAAGATACAATATATCACTAGCTGAACAAATAAAGTAAAATGATCAGTAATATGTCTTTTCAGGAATTAATCCTGAAGAAAAGCAATTTTTTTCAATATTGCAAGTTGAATATTTACCCTTGGAGTTGATGCTCTTTTGGGCTTCACCTCTGGTATAATGGGCGCAGGCAACTGCATCAAAAAACACAAGTTGTGGAAAAACAGAAAAAAGGAAGAAATCACACCTGAAGAATGGGCACTAACAATGAAATTCAATCTTTAAATTAAAATAAATAGATATGGCTCAGAAATCACTTGTTGATGTGAAAGTCTTTTCTTAAAACCTCAAAAATGAATCTTTCGTTAAATATAACATTATTCAGGACTCTTTGAATTTTATGATTACATTTCACAATAAATGGGCTGCTTTTTTTCAAAGACTACTTACAGCAGACAGTCTGGCTGATCTTCTCTTTGGCTACAAGTGAAAACAAAATTATCATTGAGGAGAATAAATGATATATGAAACAACAATTATTTTTATTATAGGGAAAATACGTGGCGTAACACTACATAAATATGAGGGTACTTTAACAATTCATCAAAAATGCAATTAAAAGGTAAGTTTAGAAGCCGGCTTTGTGGTGCAGTAGATTAAGCTGCCATCTGCAACACTGTCATCCTATGTGGGTGCCGGTTTAAGTCCTGGCTGCTACACTTCTGATCCAGCTCCCTGCTGATGCAAGTGGGAAAGCCGTAGAGGATGGCCCAAGTGCTTGGGCCCTGCACCCATGTGGGAGACCTGAATAAATGTCCTGGCTCCTGGCTGGGTGAGGACATTTGGGGAGTGAACCAGCAGATGGAAGATCTTTCTCTGTGTCTCTCCCCCTCTCTCTGTAACTCTTTCAAATAAATAAAATAGAATTTTTTAAAGGTAAGTTTATTTTGGTACAAAGCAAATTGAAATCTATGTATAATTTTTTCATAATACACATTTTCATGAACCTTAATTTTTTAAATTTTATTGTATTTATTTGAAAGAAGGAGTGACAGAGAGATTTCTCATCTGCTGGTTCGCTTCACAAATGTCTGCAACAGCCAAAAGCCAAAAGCTTGATTCGGGTCTGTCATGTGCATGGCAAGGACTCACGTACTTGAGCCATGACCTGATGTTTCCCAGAGTATACCGAAGTTACAAGCCAGAATGGAGAGTGGAGTTCAAACTTGAACCCAGGCCTTCAATAATGAATGCAAGAGTCCAAAAGTGGGACTTAATTGCTGTGTTAATTGTCCAACATATTTTCAAGAACTTTTTGAAGATTCCCTCATATGAATGCATGGATTTTGAAGCTGCTTTGCATCAAAATATATTTACCTTTTAATTCCATTTTCCATGAGCGTTTTGAATTATTATCCTATTATTGTTAAAGAAGCAGGTGTGCACTTGGTTAGAAAATACCATAGTAAAAAATCAGAAGTTTTGATTTTTCCCTTCTGTGCATCCTTTATATGCTAAAGAAAAAATATTAAGTTTCAGTTGCTAGGCTAAATTAACAAAATGATTAGCGAGTATATTTTAAAATAAAAGTATAACAGCTTTATGCCTACCAACAACGCAATTCTCTTGCTGAAGAAGAAACTCTCTCCAGAAGTTAACAAGCACATTAAGGTCCTACATTCCAAGAAGTCTTGAGTTTTAATACTGTAATTTTTAGAGAATACACCAGTATATCACAGTAAAACTCAGATGGCATAAATATACCAAACAGTATATACCTACTGGATGTTTGTTTGTCTCAGGTTTATAAAATGAGTGGATTTTTTTTTTGGACAAAGTTTCGAAAATTAAACACTCACCTCCTGCCTCACATCACCTTGAACTGCAGCCTATACAGAAGAGAAAACCACACAGAAATAAGGGCATCAGTTTAAACACAGAGCAGAAAATATTGCCTGTAAGTTATTTTCCTGGGTTCCAGCTTAAGAAGCCACCTGTTGTTTTCTAGGAGCTGTGTAGCTACATACTTGCTGTCTATCAAGGTGCAAGTACATGCCTAATCCTTTCACGAAAATAGCAATTCCTAAAAACATTCTAATTTTGGAAATCCACCTGCTATGGAGCGTGTTAAAGCAAAAAATAAACAAACAAGCAAGTGGGGGGTGGGTCGAACAAAGGTGGAGCTTCAGGCACAATTTTCCTGTCTCTTTTGCATTGCGTTTGCTGTGCAATTGTAAGTCTTTGACTCTCTCCACTGGCTCCGAACTATTCTGCTGTCCAAGTTCTGCATACAAGAACTACAACCCCCACAATGCTTCACAGGGGGGTAACCTCTTTGTTAACACGTCAAAGCTTTATCCGGAGAAGCCGGCCACGGATTTTAAAACTTCCCGCCACTACCTGCTACTAGGTTGCTGTCAGCTCTGCAAAGTAGCAATACCCATTGCACAAGCTCAGAAAAGCACGGCGGCGGGAATCTCAGAAAGGGGGATGGTGATTACAAACGGTTGCTTTCCGTATCAGAGTAGCCCTTCAGCCTGGGAATTATCAAGCTACTGCATGATTCATACAGCCCCAGGGCACCGGGGAATTTCAGTCTTATTACTACGTTCTAGGAATAGGAAAGGCAGATTAATATGAATAATATAAAAATAATCACAATACCGTGCATAGCACATCGTTTTACGGTTTTGCCAAGCAAGAAAGTGTTTGATTTCACTTGTAAGGGACTCAGCAAAAAAACAAACACCGAGTGTGAATTTATTTCCCGTCTGAGTGGAGGCAGGAATTTTGAAGTGAGGATTCCCAGAAGACCTGTACCCCTTGAACAGTCCAGACCAACGCTGTGTGTGTAAAGTGAAAACATTCACGTTACCCCAACGTGGTCAACAGTTCATAGACGCGATTCTTACCACCTTTCCTCGTTTAGCTAAAGAGCCCAGAGAGCGCCAGATCCTTGAGCCCTAAAGTTTCTAATTACAGCGGTGAATCTCTCCGGTCTCTAGGACAGTTTGAAGTCTGCGCCGCCTAATGGCACAGGATTACCATTGCATAGCCATCTGGCATGACAAGAAGTGGAGGAGGGAAGGGAGAAAAAAAAAAAGGAAAAAGAAAACGGGAAGAACAAAGGCAAACACCGGAGAAAGCCGTGGCTTTCGTTCCCCCACACGGGACGGTTCCCGGAGAAAAGACGGAGACAGAGGAAGAAACTGGTGCCTGGAAGTGCGGCTGGGAGGCGAAGTGTTCTCCAATAGGGTAAGCGGAGGGAGGGGGGTGGGGTAGGAAGCGACAGCACAGCGCTATGGCTGTTTGTAATTCAGCATGGAGACACCTCTCCAGCGATTCTTTCCCTTAAACAAAACACGTCAAAAGTGAACTACCAGTTGCATGCGAGACCATCCTAAACCTTACACCGAATGCTCTTTGCCCTTCCCTCCTATTCCATTCACTACATCACAAAATCAAACTAGAAGCCAAAACGCTTGAAAAAAATCTCTGCCTATTAGGAAATATGCATTTCAGCAGATATTCCCCCTCCTACCTTCCCATTTCACTTACCTTTCTTTTGGGCATTGTCGTAGCTCTCTAGAGGAGATCTTAACAATCACCAGGAAAAAAGCCCAGAGCAGTCTCTGCCCGACCGCTCCAACAGCAACTGAGTTTTCAATGAACTAATTGCAGCACGACCTGTACTCGTCTCCCAAAAAAAAAAAAAAAAAAAAAAATCCCTCGTTATTGGCAACATTAAACACGCCAAGACGCAACCAAACTACGTGAGTGGTTAGCCGGAGTGGGAGTTAGATTGGAGTGACAGGCTGTCAGACCAATAAGGATAGGTGGCCGGCTCTAGGGGGCGTGGCCCACAGACTTGCCCGAAACCTTCCTACGCTGCCGGTTCTGACCGCCGGTGGAGCAAAGAAGCACGCGGAATTAGTACGCGCAAAGTGTTCGGGGAAAAGATCCGTTGCAAAGCCAGAGTTGTCTTGATTTTTTTTTCTTTAGTGTTCTAATGACATTCGAAAGCCACAGTAGTTCCTTTCTCTACAGTCTCCCATACCCACACCTTTCTGTCTTCCAAAGAGGGAAAAGTGCTTTTGAAAGAGGGTTGAGTCTGAGCTACTGTCTTTCCCAGTCACCTTTGGCGGGAGGGTGAAGATGAATAGATAGCAGCACGGATTCGGAGAGTGGGAGAGTGGAGATGTTTTTATGGTTGTGAGAACTTCCCGCCAAAGCAGAATTAAGATCGTGGCAGGAAGAGGGTGCCAAAATGGCGCGCCTCCCGCAGGTGGAAAGCAGTAAAAAACTGGGAGTTGGAAGAACAGAAGGCTCGTGGAGGCGGGGATACCGATTAAATACCGTTATCCCACTTGGAGAGAGTCCACCAAAAATTCAATGAGAGCCAGCGGGAAGTTTGTAATAGCAGAGATCTGTCCAGAGGAAAAGCAATGATCCGGTAGATTTTTATTCCAAAGGTGGCATTTAGTGAATGGTCTCAGGAAAGTGCCTCTCATGAAAGTGTTTAGGACTCATAGTCTGGATTAGCAAGAGGCGATTGAGGTACTCAACTCTGGTGCACAATTTAAATTTTGTCACGAATTTGGGGTGAATGACTGAGGTGAGCCGTGCAAGTGCAGGTTAAGATCCTGTCTTTATGTGAAATCTTGATATTTTGTTCGTCACAGATTTTTTTTCTACTAGTTTGATCTTTTAAAGTGTTGCATTAAATTATTATTTACTTGCTGAGTTTGGGGGCGACTGCTTAATTTTTTGGGCCTAAAGAATGTCCCCCCAGCCTCACCCTAATCACAGCCACGTTAGGAGAGCTTTCTACTCTAAGAGGCATCTTGCTGCCTTCTAGAATCAGCTTCTGACACCTGAAGATGTGGGAGTTGTGGTAGAAACCAGCAAATCAGGTATTTGGGAGTAGCTCTAGTTAAAATGGAGGGCCTTGTTCCCCATAGACTTTTTTCAGAGGAGCCTTGCTTTGGTTGTTGTGAGCACTAAGTGTTTAAAAGGGTTCCCCCAAACAGCCCCTATCCCTATTCCAGAAGGTAAATCTAAAAAGAAAGCTAACATTTTGAACAATTAAGAAAAAATTCTGTTGGTGTTCATCTGGGTTTAAAAAATCGGAACCTTTAGTTTAAAAGATGAATACAATGGTTGTTACAGAATACCAAACCATCCCTTCAAATTATAAACATAATTGAAGATCCCATCATGTGTATTATGTTCACCCAGTGTTCTCCAACACCTATAGTGTGGAATTAAACAGATCAGGTAGGATAAGAGTGTCTAATGGCAGCTCAGTTTCCCTCTGCCTCCTTCATATTGCATTCTGATTCAAATAGACAAATCAGAAAGACGATTAAGTTGCTTACTTTGCCCGCAGTTACTGGGGATCATCCCTCAAAGCTCTTGAAGTCCCTTACAGTGAAAGCATTGTTGAGAAAGCCCAGATGTGTTCCAATAATCTTACTGTCCATGAATTAAATAGAAGGTATGCATGAGAAATATAAGATGGACTCAAATGGATAAGGAAAAAAAACAGAATTAAAATGTGTCAGCACTGAAATGCATCCATTCAACAAATTCTGATTTAGTTTGTGAGTTGGATTTTGTTTTCGTAAACTAGCTTATGAAAATGCAAAACCCTGTGGCATGCAAAGTTGCATTACACTGTTTCTGCCCTTAAGGATTTTTATAATTTTTCAGGATAGAGCAAACAGATGCATACATATTTACAAATCAAAATTACTTGTATTGTATCAGTGGTGTAATCTAAATTCAATAATAAAACAGGAGAGAAGGATGTTTTCAAAGGAGATAGTTGGAAAAGGCTTTTGTTGAGACATTTGTCTTGACTGTGAACTTTTTGGATAGATTGCTATGTTACAACAAATGCAGGGGCAGGAAAAGTTTGTACTCGCTCGGGGAACAGAGCGCTTAGTCCCAGTGGATTGAAACAAATGATCATGAGGAGCTCTGGGAGGTAAGGCTTAGAGGTTGGAGGCAATGCAAAATGTGCTAATCAGTGAGCTCTCAAATTCCTCTGTTTGTCAGCAGTTCCATTTTTTGGTCAGATTTTCCTCCATGCAGTCTAACATGTTGTAACTGTGATTTATGTCTTAGTAAATTGAAAAAAAAAAGTCATGCATGTATAAGAAAATTTTGTTATGTGTGCAGCGTTCCTCTATTTCTTCACTCCTCAAAGTCCCATGTTCTTTCTAACCTTTAATCAAGAGTAGTTTTTTTGTACCAGCTAACCTGGTTTAGACTCTGTGCCTTTGCTTTGTTTTGTCTGACTGCAGTCTCATTCTCTTATATCTTTACCTAGCAAACATCTACCAAAGTTTTCAGTCCCAATCCAAATAACTTTTTGACAAAGAAAACTTTAACCAGTAGAATGTAAATGGTAGCACTCATATGTAGCACTAATATGACATCAAGCAAGTTTGATGTTTTTCCACTGTTTCCTCAACCACTTAATCCTGCTTCTTCACATTAATTCTAACTTGTATATACTTTCTTTTCCATAAATGTTTTCAGCACATCATGCTATACATACATTCTGTAGAATTTACTTCCTTAATGAAGTTTTTCTAAAACTGATAAATTATTCCACAGTTAAAATTCCATTTTTGTATAATTGTCAAAGTGAGACTTTTTACTGGATCCTTTTGTTTTCTAAATTTACATTTTTTTTTTTTTGGACAGGCAGAGTGGACAGTGAGAGAGAGACAGAGAGAAAGGTCTTCCTTTGCCGTTGGTTCACCCTCCAGTGGCTGCTGCGGCCGGTGCACCGCGCTGATCCGAAGCTGGGAGCCAGGTGCTTCTCCTGGTCTCCCATGTCGGTGCAGGGCCCAAGCACCTGGGCCATCCTCCACTGCACTCCCTGGCCACAGCAGAGAGCTGGCCTGGAAGAGGGGCAACCGGGACAGAATCCAGCGCCCCAACCAGGACTAGAACTTGGTGTGCCGCCGCCGCAAGGCGGAGGATTAGCCTAGTGAGCAGCAGCGCCAGCCTCTAAATTTACATTTTATTTATTAATGACTATAAATGTTGATCTCCTAGCTGTTTTTCACAGAACTTCCTAGTTCTCCGGACTATTAAGCATACCTGATAGCACTCTCAGAAGTTACTGGAGCTCTAGCATGTTCAGGTAATAATTAGTAGAAAATGGCACAAAAATATGTGAAAAAAAATCAGATTATAGGCATTAACATGAAAATGTTTCAGACAGAGAATCTAAAATACAGTATTAAGATTATGTGTTATGATAAAAGGGATGTTAATCAAGATAAAATAAGTCTCCAAATGTTCCATATATTAATAGTTTAAAATTACATATAATTAAAAGTATCCCAAATATACTGCTTTGCATAAAATGAGATTTGAAAAGTACTGATTGATTAGAAATAAATATTTAGCTTTCTGTATTAAAATATCTTTTATTTTGACCCCATCCATCACTATACTTCTTCCTAAAAACCATAGAAAATGTCTTAATATTGTTATCAAATAATAATAATGCAAGACTTCTGCCATATAATTAAAACATTGTGTTTTTGTTTTAAATATATTGTTGGTCAGTGTTTAAAGAGAGCAAAATAAATGGTAAGTACACAGTGAGGCAAATGTATCATTGTACTTATTTCTGAGCCTTGTTTATGATTGATAAGAGGAATTTACTTAGATTGATGATGGCACTTAGCTGAGAGTGACTCTAGAAAAACTATAATCCTTAGGATGCCAAGCTTCCTATTTCCTATGTTTATTCACAGCAGGCCCAAGACTCATAAAATACTGAATTGGTGAGTGATCCCTGATATAATGGATCTGAAAAATGTATTTTCAATGGTAAAAATGAATGGGACTGCTTTCTAAGAGCAAAAAAAGACATAGTAAATTGTATGTGCCTACTTGCAAATTTTCCAACAACTTTTAAATAATAATTTAAGAGAATGATATTTTAGGGTCTTGGATATTACAGCCTAGAGAAGACTAGCTATCTTCCGGTTCGGTACTCTTTAAATATAGATAAATAAACTGAATCCCAGAGAAGTTTAATGACTTGTCCAGGCTCATCTATTAAAAGTAGTGCAGAGACGTATATTTGGTTTAGCTGTGAAGAGCCCACATCCCATATCACAGTATCTGGATTTGAGTTCTAGCTGCACTCTTGATTTCAGCTTCCTGCTAATATGCACCCTAGGAGGTAGCAGGTGATGGATCAAGCAGTTAGGCATCTGCTACCCAATGGGAGACCTAGACTGAATTGCCAGCTCTGACATTTGGCCTGGCCTAGTCTTGGTTATTTTGGACATCTGGGGAGTGAACCACCAGATAGATGTGCTCTCTATCTCTACCTCTATCTCTACTTCTATCACTAACTCTACCTCTCTTTCTTGCCCTCACTCTCTGCCCTATCTCTCTGCCTCTCAAATAAACAAAAATAAATAAATAAATCTTAAAAGTTGAGCATTTTTTCCATTTTTGTTCTAAAAATTTTACCTATGGTTGTGGGATTAGCAATTATGGAAGTTATGCAAGTGTGACTATATGATGTATTCAGTAAATAAAAATTCTACTCAATCTCAGTTACTAACACTCAAGAAGAAGATTTCCATCAACCCGTTTCAATGCACCTTTGATGATTTACTGGATCCTCCATTCATCTATGATCTTTCTTTTTAAAGA